AGTCTTTGTAATTTTGTTATGAATTAATAGATGCTACCTCTGATTTGAACTGAGAAACTACCTGGGTTACTCCCTTTTCATGCTGACTATGTTAGATATCAATATCTATAAAAATGAACTTCAACCCTAGTAGTCTAATCTTTTATGCGTCTATGTTGGTCAATGCAGCACAAAACATCTTCTAAAAGTTTATTTGTATTTTAATAAAATGGTCTTTTGTTGTTTCCACTGCCATCTGATGCTTCCATTCCGTGAATATATCTTTCTTCCTTTACCATCCAACTTTTTCAGATATTTTGGAGTTGACATCGGTGCCATTCAAGATTATTCTCTTCAATTCAAAGATATCATGCACTGCCGTGCTGAAATTAGGTACCCAAACAGTCGTTATTTCTTTTTGGAAGTTTAGGGCCAAGAACTTTGTGGCATAAATCACTGGCCTTGTTTATATACAATTAAACAAATCCTTTTCACCATGGGGTAATGCCCATTAGTTAAGTTTATAAGCTGTATAGTCTCTTGAGGAAATAGAGGATCTGTATTTCCATCGAACGACACTTATATGCCAGTTGCCAGTTTGTTTTCCTAGCATTGATCTAAGTGCCCACTTTTTTCCCCTATTGCCGTTATTCTGCATATTTAAACTGTTCCTATGTTTAATCACAACAGGGATTTTGATGCTTTTGATTTGCGATTGAGGCTTCCTGCTGTGGTTAGCAAACTGCACAAGCTTATCAACTGTAATGGTGGTGTAACATATATACATTGTACTGCTGGACTTGGAAGAGCTCCTGCTGTTGCAGTAGGTTTACATAGCACTGTTTTTTTTTTGTTTCCCAAGACAGCCTATTGTTTTACAGAGTCCATTTGTTTCTCTATAGATCCTTTTGCTGCACTAGGTTTACATTATTTTTCTTATATTGCTCATTACCAGGTTGAATGAAAGCAAACCTTTTGGAGAAAACCATGCTTATGTGCTTTAGAAAGAGTACTAAGTACCAATCCTCCCAAGTTACAAAGTTATGCCTAGATAAAAAAAAAGAGCACATCCCATGACGCACTGACATGAAGGGCGGGCCTGGTGCAAGCGGTAGAGTCTTACCGCCTGTGACCGGAAGGTCCCGGGTTCAAGTCACGGTCTCCTCGCATTGCACAGGCGAGGGTGAGGCTTGCCACTGACACCCTTCCCCAGACCCCGCACAGAGCGGGAGCTCTCCGCGCTGTGTACGCCCCATGATGCACTGACATCATAAATACAAATGCTACGGTCTGCAGCTTTGTAGTGCTTTAATAACCTCAACACACTGACATAAATACAAATGCTACAATCTGCAGCTTTGTAGCGCTTTAATAACCTCAAGATTTGACTGGGTCTAATTTCTTCCAAGTTATGTAACTTAATTAGAAAATAGTACTTAGGGGGACACATCATTGGCTACAATTTGTTATTGTCCACAGCCTTGAGCATTGTTGTTTGATATCTTTCTAAGTCCGAGCACTTTTTGTAAATTTCAGTTGGCTTATATGTTCTGGATTCTTGGGTACAGTCTCAACGAAGGACATCAGCTGCTGCAGGTAATTCATTGCAGTTGGTACAACCTTTTTTCGAATATTTCAGCAGTTCTGTTTGTTGGAAGAAAAGATAATATGCTGATTATCTGTGCACTGGAAAACTAACATCTAATGATTGCCTGCTTGTTGGAATTTTGATGGTCCCCCGCATCAGTTCTCTATACTCCATTTATGTCGGTAGCCTTAGTGCTGTTACCATACAGCTAGTAGAAAAGTTCTGTTGATTTATCTGTTCTTAAATTCATTTTTCATTTTGTAGAGTAAACGGGCTTGCTTTCCAAAGTTGGAAGCCATTAAGTTGGCAACTCCTGACATTGTAAGTGAATATTGTACTGATTTCTCAGTAGTAGTTATGATGGAGAAGTGGATACAGATTATGGCGAGTCAAAGATTTTTCTACTAAGCGATGACTGTTTTATTATTTAGCTGACAGGATTATCCAAAAACACAATCACTTTGAAGTGGGAAGACGATGGTTGTTCCTCTGTTGAAATTTCTGGGCTCGACATTGGCTGGGGCCAGGTATGTTTTTCCTTCAATTGTGCGTTTAAAGATTTCCCTTTTGGACGTGACTAGGATTAGGGCATTTGTTGAAGTTGCATAATAAATTAGATGCTACTACCTGTCTACCTCTGGCCATATTTATATGATGTTCCGACAAAGCAGTCTTTGTTAACTGAACTGGCCCCTGCGGTGGGGATGTCATATATATTGGACTGGAGGGAGCACATATATATTCTGTATGAGGCTTAGTGGATTAAACTGGCAATATATATATATCCCTATGTGGTTGCTTTGCTGATGAAACTAGGCCATTCATCTGGGTTTCAGCATGCTAGCTCAGAAACATTGTCTCAAACAGGAAGGCCGTTATCCTGGTTAACTCTTAATGTTGGCACTGATTGTAAGCAGCATAATTTTAATGCAGCTGTCAAGTTGTCAATAACGCAGCAGGTTACTTTAAACCAGGTTTTTGGACATTATTCGTTTTGTCGTATGCACTCGACAGTTAACGTTTTGTACCTGCAGACTACAATAAAAGGCTCTCACAAATTCTCCTGTTTAATATCAATTATGGAAAAAATGATATGTATGCAGTACTATCTGCTCCATTTTGCACAACTTGTGTCTTACAATCTGCTTTAGATAGATATGCCTAAATCAAAATTACAAGTATGATTTCCCCTCACCTGCTAAGGGACTATGATGGTTGAACAAGCTCATCTAAAAGGGCGTACCCAGTGTAGAGAGCTCCCGCTCTGTGCGGGGCTTGGGGAAGGGTGTTAGTGGCAAGCCTTACCCTCGCCTGTGCAATGCAAAGAGACCGCGACTCGATTGAACAAGCTCATCTACCTGTTAAATATTTTTGTTCAATAATCCCATGCAAAAGTCTCTAACTGGCTGCTATTTATCCTTTCAGAGAATTCCTTTGACATATGATGAGGAGAAAGGAGTTTGGTTTCTCGAGAAAGAGTTGCCTGTGAGTATAAAATGCATATGTTAGGAACCGTCTAAAAGTTTATCAATATTCATAATTGCATTGTTGAAAGTAATCATCTCTTGACCATAAATGGTATATGTAGACCATCTGTGTGTTGACATCCAGCTTGATCATTTATACTATATATATCCTTACATTTGAATAACCACCTTAGGAAATGGGGGTTCTGACTTGTGAAAGTCCGGAAAGATTGTCACCACTGACCTTATATAGAAATATAACTGTGGCCATCCTGTGTGTCCAGAAAGTCTTACGATGACTGCAGCGTTCTTAACAAAATATTGTCTGTGATACCTTTGAACAAAACATAGGAGTTAAATTTTATACTCGCCATATGGCTATATCTTACATCTTTTGCATATCTGTTTCCTGAAGGAAGGACGGTATGAATACAAATACATAGTGGATGGCAAGTGGCTATGCAACGAGCATGAGATGTTAACGAAACGGAACGCTGACGGTCACGTGAACAACTATGTCCAGGTGAGATCCTCTTGTCGATCTGCCGGTTCTATCGTGAATGAATCAGATAGATGGTCATAGCTGCTGGCTGAGGCTGCATGCTTTTCTTGGTTGCAGGTCTTCAGAGACGGTACCAGTGACGAAGAGAAGGAGCTAAGGGAGCGGTTGACTGGTCCAGACCCTGATCTCACGGACGTGGAAAGGCTGATGATCAGAGAGTACTTGGAACAGTACGCAGATGCCAGCGAGCGCTAGGAGGTCCAGTTGAGACGATTCACGTTCCTATGTGCTGGTGTATAAACAAGCAAGCTCATTGGGATTAGGTGGTACTGGGTACTAATAATAAGTATGTACGTATGACATAAACTGCAGAAGAATGGGCTCGGGTGCAGTCTGGGAGCAGAACAGTAGACCATGATGATGACTGATGAAGAGAGGAGACGACGGACCGAAGCGAACCTGACCGCACCTTTCTTCCTTCCCGGAAACGTCCCCTGTTGTCCATAGTGGAGCTTAACCGTGGAAAAGGGCACGTTTTGCTCGCATAGTTGAAGGAGCAAATTGTACGTATCGTTGAACAGCTGTGCAGGAATAATAAGCAGTAGCGTAAAACTAGTGACCTTAATAATAATAAAGTTACTAGTGCATGTTCCTGAATGAATGAATAAAGAGTAATCTTTTGTATCCTTGCCTGTGATTTTTAGTTGGTTTGGTCACCTGAGGCTGAATGAATAAAGAGTAATCTTATGTTGTTACTCTACCGAGTTTGTGCTGTGCCGGTGAGGCCTGCGATTGCATCCAACGTGAAAAATGAAATTCCCTGCAGCTGAGAAGATGGTTTGGTGCAGCAGCACCGCACCGAAAGAGGAGACGCGTCGGTGATGAATGTGTGTGGACTTGTGGTTCCTGTTCCTTGCCGTGGAAGTCAAAGTCGGGCGGTCCGCATCAGCAGGCGACAAGCGTTCAGCCGTGGTACAGGCGAGAGCGAGTGGTGGTGGACCGGTGGGTGGAACTGGAAGGTGATCCGCACCCACCCAGACGGCCAGGCCAACCAATCCTTCTACTACTCCGTACCAACACCGAAATTTGCAATCATACCAAAGATTTCGAAATGAAAATCTGTCGTTGGCGGCAAAGCAAAGCAAAACACTGCAAGGATCATTCTCCCTTTCCTCTGGAGAGAATAAATCAATGAATAAGCAGCAAGATTTTGATGGAATATAAGTAAGAGTTGCAAAATTGATTTTTACAGAGTGGAGTGGAGTATTGCTAGGGCGGCAACTTTGAATATTGATTTACACAAGTACTCTAGTAAATGAATAAATAAAAAGAAGCGCTACTAGTAAATGCGCTTGCTTGTTGCAACAAGACAACAAGCAGCGGTAAATAAAAGTGACTGCTTTGCAAGCTACGCTAAGGGGAAGATTGAGCCTCAGCGTGAGCTTGAACTTCATCAAGGATTAATTCAAGCTGCGCAGTGTTTGTTGGCGGAGGCGGAGACGGAGCTGGAGCGGCGTCGCTTTTCGGTGGTGGTGGCCGGCGGCGGGTGCGGGCGGAAGAGCCGCTCCAGCTCGTCGAGGCGGAGGCTGATGAGAGGGACGGAGGAGGACTCGGCAGACTGACGCTGATGCTGATCCCCCTGAGGCTGGGGCTGGAAGAGGCGCTTCCTGCACGGCGGCGGCGGCGGCGGCTTCCTGGGCGCCGGCGGGCACGTGGTGGGCTCCCTCAGGTAGGAGATCCTGCTGCCCGTCGGCGTCTTGCAGCAGTAGTCGTCGTCGTCCCCGCCGAACACGAGCGGCGGCTGCGCGGCGCAGGCCGGAGAGAAGGCCGGCGCGGCGGGCTTGAAGAACTCGGGCGACGCGGACATGGTGGTGGCTTTGAGCGAGCGAGGTGGTGGACTCTCCGGTGGTATTGGTCGGCTTTGAGCGAGCGAGTGAGGTGGTGGACCGAGACCGACTGGTGGTATATGAAGGAAGGGAAGGAAGAGAGAGAGGAGCAGGAGGAGGGGCGTCGCCGTGTGGGGGAGAAAAGACGCACGCGTTCAGCCCCTTGCCGTGGAAGGAAGGAAATGCAGGAAAGATTTCCTTCTTTTCTTGCGAGCCGTGTGAACTCCGTGTAGATTGACGTGATGTTTGTGGGGATTCCAATTTCCAAATCAATATATATACTAGAAAGAAAGACTGCCGCGCCCTCTATCGAAGGCCAGTACAGAATTTAGGGCACGTTTAGTTCGTGAAAAAATTTGGGTCGGGCTGCTGTAGCATTTTCGTTTGTATTTAGTAATTAGTATCTAATTATGGGCTAATAATTAGGTTACAAAGTTTTGTCTCGCGATTTATCACCTAACTGTGCAATTAGTTTTGTTTTCGTCTATATTTAATACTCCATGCATACGTCCAAAAATTCAATGTGATAGGCAAAAACCAAAAATTTTTGGAACTAAACGCGCCCTTAAACACCGATGATGTTTATTGTCATGTTCGCTTCACTTATGAGTCATATTTTTTCTGCCAATGAATAGTATTTTTCTTTTATAATAAATCAATCAATCGTACTTTCAGCTATGTCTTATCAGCCAAACGAACAGAGCATATGGTGTCGATATGGGGTCATTGGAAGCATTGAGGCCTTTGACATCCAGCAAGTTGTCTTCTCAATCTGCTGGTACAATGCTTTAATCATCTTACTTATTGTGGAACACCCACTTTGTTCTAATGACTCTTGCACCTTATGGTCGCTCTTCAAGTGTCCAAACTTCATTGCGGTTGAAATTGTTCAACTCTTCATGCATGGCATTTATCCAATCCGGATCTTAAAGAACTTCTTCTACGTTCTTAGGTTCAATGCAAGAAACAAACGAGTAATGTTCAATAAATGAAGCAAGTTTTTTAAGAACGAGTCATTACTCCTTTTGAAAGACTCCCTATGATGAGATCTTGTAGATGTGCTTGTAGTATGGGTGAATTTCTTCTATCAACCACTTGAGAGGGAGGTTAATGGGTGAATTTCTTTTATCAACCACTTGAGAGGGAGGTTGTGGAGCATCAACATCTTGAGCTTGTGCCACCATTTGATCATGGGATACATGAATATTTTCATTTTCTATTTTTTCATCTTTATCATCATCTTATGGCTCATTTGATGAAGAGGGTGGATCAATCACTTGGACATCATCTCCATCATCTTTGGGCTTGATGTCTCCAACTAGAATATTCTTCATGGCCCCTCAATGATTCATCACCTACATCATCAAGATTCTCATGTGCTCATTGGGAGTCGTTAGATTCATCAAATTCCACATCATATGTTTCTTCAACCAAGCCGGCGGCATGATTAAATACTCGATATGCTTTGGATTTTGATGGGTAACCAACAAGAAAACTAATATCACAATGTCTTTGGAACTTTCCTAAGTGTTGCCGCTTTTTATAGATGTAGCATTTGCAACCAAACACCCGGAAAAATGATATGTTCGGTTTCTTTCCATTGAGCAACTCATAAGGGTCTTGCCAAGAAACTTTTGAAGAAATAAGCGATTTGATGCATAACATGCGGTGTTGATAGCTTCCGCCCATAGAGCTTCGGGTGTATTGTACTCATCAAGCATTGTTCTTGCAAGGGTGATAAGTGTTCGGTTCTTTCTCTCTACTATACTATTTTATTGAGGAGTGTATGTTGCGGAGACCTCATGCTTGATCCCTACTTCATCACAATATGCTTCAATGTTTGTGTTGTCAAAAAAAATTTCATTGTCACTTCTTATCTTCTTAAGCTTCACTTTAAATTCATTTTGTGCTCTCTTGGCAAACTTTTTGAAACATGCGGCCACTTCGGTCTTGTCATGAAGGAAGAATACCCAAGTATATCTAGAGTAGTCATCAACTATCACAAGACAATAGAGATTTTCTCCCAAACTATTGTAAGTTGTTAGTCCAAATAGATCCATGTGAAGAAGCTCTAGCACTCTTGTTGTTGACATGTAAGTTTTTGTTGGATGAGTGTTTGCAACTTACTTGCCGGTTTGATATGCACTACAAAGCTTGTCTTTCTCAAATTTCACATCCTTCAAACCTCTCACAAATTCATTCTTCATTAGCTTCTTGAGTGAGCTCATCCTAACATGTGCAAGTCATCTATGCCATAGCCACCCAAGTGATGTTTTGGTGAATAAGTATGTCTTCAAGTTTGCATCTTCAGAGGTGAAATTCAATAGATATAGGTTGTTGTATCTAAAACCCATGAATATAACTTGATCATCATCTTTCTTTGACACAATCACTTCCTTCTTGGTAGACAAACATTGAAATCCAAGATCACACAATTGACCAACGGATAGTAAGTTGAAACTCAATGAAGCAACATATAGCACATTTGATATTGAATGATCATTTGATATTGCAACTTTGCTCAATCCTTGAACTTTGCCCTTTTAATTATTACCAAATGTAATCATTTCTTGACCATCTACTTCTTCATCTAGTGAGGTGAACATACGAGGATCACCGGTCATATATTGAGTGCAACCACTATCAATAATCTAATGACTTCCATCGGTCTTGTAGTTCATCTACACATAAGAGATCAAGCTTGTTGTTTAGGGACCCAAACTTGATGAGGGCCCTTGACTTTCTCAACTAGTGACTTTGCAACCTAAATTTGCTTAGGCCTATTCTTATTGGGTGGACCTAAGAATATGACTTTTATTTTTTCACTAGAATCCTTTCTAAGCATGTAGTGAGCATTGAAGGTAAATGGTCTAGCATGCTTGGGCAAGGGTTGTGGTGGTGGAGTTTGACACTCATGGGCAAAGTGACCTTCTTGTCCACACTCAAAACATCTCTTTGGTTTAGGCTTTGACTTGTATTGTTGTTGATGTTGAGCTTGAGCTTTCTTCTCTTGATTTGTCAAGTACCCAATACAACTTCTATCCATCTTCATCACGGTGTTCATGAGTAGTTCACTTTGGAGATATTGGCCTCTTGTGAACTTGCTCAAACCGGTGGGCCCTACATTGATTTCCGTGGCCTCGGGCTCGGCCGCCGGGGTCTCGGTAACAGAAGGGGCCTCAGGCCCTGTGGTGGGCTCGACCGGTGGGCCCTCTTGTGCCGCCGAGGCGTAGTCCATCGAGGGCTTATGCAGGTCTCTGGCGAATATGTTCGGGGGGACCGAGGCCCGTGCCGATGCCATCTTCGCCAGTTCATCGGCGGCCTCGTTGAACTTCCACGCAATGTGGTTGAGTTCAAGACCGTCGAACTTATCTTCAAGGCAACGTACCAGTTTGCAGTACGCCTCCATTTTGGGGTCGTGACAATTCGAGTCCTTCATGACTTGGTCGATGACGAGCTGTGAATCACCCCGTACGTCGAGATGCCACACTCCAAGCTCGATGGTGATCTGCAAGCCATTGACGAGAGCTTCGTACTCGGCTGCGTTGTTGGAGGCGGCGAAGTGGAGCCGAATCATGTAGCGCATATGCACTCCGAGGGGAGAGATGAAGAGCAGACTCGCGCCTACCCCGGTCTTCATCAGAGACCCGTCGAAGTACATGGTCCAGCATTCCGCTAGGATTTGAGTAGGTGGCAGCTGGGTGTCGGTCCACTCAGCCACAAAATAGACCAAGACCTGGGATTTAATTGCTTTCCAAGGTGCAAAAGACAGGGCCTCCCCCATGAGTTCAATGGCCCACTTGGCTATTCTACCCGAGGCCTCCCGGTTCTGGATTATCTCTCCCAGAGGGAAAGACGACACCACAGTCACTGGGTGGGATTCGAAGTAGTGACGCAGCTTGCGTCGAGCCAAGACTATGGCGTAGATCAGCTTCTAGATGTGGGGGTAGCGTGTCTTAGTTTCGGAAAGTACCTCGCTGATGAAGTAAACAGGTCGTTAGACGGGTAGAGCGTGCCCCTCTTCCTGCCTCTCGACCACTACGGCCGCGCTGACTACTTGGGTCGTTGCGGCGATGTAGAGTAAGAGGGCCTCACCCTTGGTTGGTGGTACTAGGACGGGAGGAATGGTGAGCAGGGCTTTGAGCTTGGTGAGGGCTTCTTCGGCCTCGGGGGTCCAAGAAAAGCGTTCAGATTTTCTTAAGAGACGGTACAGGGGTAAACCTTTTTCACCAAGGTGCGAGATGAAGCGGCTCAGGGCCGCAAGGCATCCCATAATTCTCTGTACCCCCTTGAGGTCTCGAATTGGCCCCATGTTGGTCACGGCCGAGACCTTCTCCGGGTTGGCCTCGATGCCGCGCTCTAAAACTATGAACCCCAAGAGCATGCCTCGGGGGACCCCGAAGACACACTTCTCAGGATTAAGCTTGATGCCCTTTTCTCTGAGGCATTTGAAAGCGATCTCTAGGTCGCCGATGAGATCACTGGCCTTTCTAGACTTGACCACGATGTCGTCCACGTAAGCCTCGACAGTTTGCTCGATGTGCTCGTTGAAGACCTGGGTCATGCACCGCTGGTATGTGGCCCTTGTGTTTCTGAGACCGAATGGCATGGTCACATAGCAGTACATGCCGAACGGGGTGATAAAAGAAGTCGTGAGCTGGTCGGACTCTTTCATCTTGATTTGATGGTAACCGGAATACGCATCAAGGAAAGATAGGGTCTCGCATCCTGCAGTGGAGTCAACGATTTGATCGATTCGAGGTAATGGAAACAGAACCTTTGGACATGCTTTATTTAAACCAGTGTAGTCTACACACATCCTCCATTTTACATTCTTCTTCTTAACTAATACAGGATTAGCTAACCACTCTAGATGGGATACTTCCTTGATGAATTCGGCCGCCAACAGCTTCTGCACCTCCTCGCCGATGGCCCTGCGCTTCTCCTCGTCGAATCGGCGCAGGTGCTGCTTCACCGGTCT